AAAACCCGGTGGGGTGCCCCCCCCCCCCCCCCCCCCCGGGCCCGAAAAAGGGGTATAAGGTCTTAGTGAAAACCACTCAAGTTTTTGGGGGAAAAAAAGGGGGGGGGAGGGGCCAATTTACTTTTCCTTTTTTTTATAAAAAAGGGGCCCCTTTTTTTTTCCAAGACCAACCAAAAGGCCCCCCCGGGAAAAATTTTTTCTCCCCTTTTTTTCCAAGGGGGGGGGGGTTTAAGGGGCTTTAAGTGTTTGTTTCATTTCTTTACGTCCCCAAGAGTTCCCCCCCCCCCCCCCCCCCCTCCCCTATCATGCTGCAGGGGCACGATGACAGCAGTAGTAGACAGACGGGACCCGCGCCCCCCCAAAAACAAATTGAAGAGGAGTCGGGCCCCGCCGCTCGTTTGGCACACAGCATAAAATTAAATCAGATATACAGGCAGACCGGTGCCAGCTCCAACCCCCCCCCCGTTGCATCATGGCGGCGTCGAATTGGCTGCACATTACCAGCAAACAAAGCACGACGCGGCCGCACGTCAACAACTGATCTCACCAAAAAAAAAAACACACACACACACACAAACAAAATGCAGTGGGCAGCCCTGCACCACATGGATAGATGAGTCGATCATCATCATTGGCGTTATTTATTGCCCGGGCTCACGTATAACACGGACGTTACGCTTAGGACGGCGAAATTCGAGCCATTGTTTGCCCGGATTCGCGTACAACACGGACAGACGGCAAAGGAAGGTAGACCAAAATGAACTTTTGGCCTTAGAGTATGCCGAAGTGATCGTCGAAAGCGAACACCGCGAGAACGTCGAACTGCTCCAGGTTCTCCATGCCGTCGTCCGGCCATCCCTCCGACCCGTACCCGGTCAACTCGTCCGTCAGGCCATCCGAGGACAGCGTGTCTCCACCGCTGCTGCTGCCGCTGTCGCTCGACATGCCGCTGCTGGTGGCGACATCGTCTTGCTTGTGGCCCTTGCTGCTGCTGCTGCTGCTGCTGCCGTCGCAATCCATGTCGAAGACACCCGGAGAGATTGCCGCCGCCGCCCGCCGCAACTTGTGAGCAGCGTCAGCGTCGCCAAACGAGGAAGAGGAGGACGAGAGCATGCTCGTTGCGATGGCTTCCGCAGGAGCACTGTTGGGTCGGAAGTGAAACACTTGGTCCAGCATCCGCTGCTGCTGCTGCTGGCGGAACGCCGCAAGGCGCTTGTCCAGACCGAACGCCTGGTCGTCGTGCTTGAGGCTTCGGACGCCCGTTTCGCCGACAACTCCCGCCATGCCAACGCCTCCCGGGAACTCCAGCTTGTCGTCCAACACACCGCCGCCGCCGCCAAAGTCGGAACGGCGAAAGAACACCGGGCTTGTGCTCGCCGCGGAGAAGGGGTTGAGAATGCCGCCGCCGCTGCCGACGACGACACCGTTGCCCTCGCTCATGGAGCCGAACCCAGCAGCATACCCATTGGGAGAGAAATACTCGAGGCCTCCGATACCGGGGATGGAAATCCCGGTCGCGGTCGGGTCGAACGGCGTTCCGGGGTAGAGCGTGGCCGTCGAATCCGGCAGGCCGCCGAAGGCGGCCACGCCCGCCGATCCCGACGACAGCAACACCCGTTGCTGCTGCTGTTGCTGTGCCTGTTGCAGGCGCTGCTGCTGCTGCTGCTGCTGGAGCGACTGCTGCGCGTTGTACCCTGCAGCAGTGGCGGCGGCGGTGGACGAGAACGACGACCCCGGGCGGGCCAGGAGCAAACCATCGTCTCCTTCTTGCTTGTCCTGTCCGGAGCGCTCGGTCTTGACGTTGTGCCCACCGGCGAAGGTGGGAGGCGAAGACGAGGCAGCCATCGAAAATGCGGGGGCTGCTGCTGCTGCTGCTGCCGCCGGCAAAGCTTCCGCGTCTCCACCGCCAACGACAAACGCATCCAGGAACGTCTCGCACAGGAACGGGGAGAGTTGGCTGCCATGCAGGGGATCAAACATCAGCAGCGACAACGGGGGAGGTCATTTCTAAGACTCTGGCAGCGTGGTTGCCGCAAGATTCAATATTCTTAATATTATACACACCGCCCCATTGTCTTTGTCTAAGGGAGTTAGTGAGGCGAGTTCTCCGCACGGCGGGAACAGCAGTCGCAAACGTAGCTGCCCCTTGCCGATAAGACACAGGCAGCATATATGTGGAAAAGCGCCATTGTCTCACGTGCACGCGAAGGATTTGTCGGAACGGAACAGCTTTCGAGCATTGGAACCAAAAGGGGGAAGCAAGGGGCGGTACCAGCGCCGAACAACAAACATTTTGTGCACACCTCCAGAGTGAATACATCAGGACACCTTAAAAAATATTCCAAAAATGCCGCGTTTCTCACCAGCTCGTAAAACCGCTGCCACCACCCGCGGAAGCTTCCGTGACTGCCTTCACGGGCATCGCGCTCGCGCCGCCGCTGAGCTCGCGGTCGCCGAAGTAGCTGCCGACTTCTTCTTCCATGCCGACCTCACCGCTGGTGGCAGGCTGACCTTGTGCAGCCAAGTTCCCGAACGACGACCATACGGACTTGGTGAGCGCAGCCTCCTTACGGGGGGACGGAGGCACCTCCGCTACTGTCGGCGGCGTAGCGGTGCCCGGGGCTGTGATGGAGGACGGGAACGAGAAGAGCTGACGCCCGTAGTCGCAAGAGGTACCGGCGGCGGCATCGCAGTCAGCCGAGAGATGGCCAGTCTTGACCCTCTTCTCCGGGCGGTACTCCGTCCCTGCCGTCCACTCTGCGTCGCTGCTGCCCTCGCCGGCATCCTCCTCCCCCACACGGCCCGGCGCGGCCGTCTCGGCAGCGGCGGTGGCAGCAACCGCCTCCGCCGCTCTCGCCTCCGCCTCGATGACCCTCGCGGCGCTCGCCTCCGCCATAGCCTTAGCAGCATCAGCCTCGGCCTTAGCCTTAGCGGCAGCGGCGCGAGTCGACCGCGGGCGGCCGCGACTCCCGCCACCACCGTTACCATTACCGCCGCCGGCGTGGGGGGTGAGGAGCCTCTTGCCCCGAACGGTGACCGGTGTCGGGGATATCAGGATGCCCGCACGGGAAGGACGGATCGCTTTGGTTCGGGGGGGTTTGCGGCCGCTGCGGCCGCTGCCGCCGCCGCCGCCATCGTCGTCGTCTTCGTACGGCTGGTGGAGTCGTTTTTTTTGTTCAGGCCAAATTTGTTGGAATGAGGCCGCGCAAAAAGAGGGGTGGGGGAGGTGAGCGCGGCGAATGTGTAATAGTGATTTTCGACGTAAACCGGATTGTGTTTATTAGACCCCGAACACACCGTAGTCGTGATTGAGCGAGGGTTTCAGCACGTATTTCAAGGTTAGACTTCTATTATACAAACTCCAAGTTCCAAGCATTTCACCACGAACAAAAAATATGTTCGTGCTTGGAGGTGTTCCCAAGTCTTGTGTTTCAGAAGAACCGCGACATAATCCGGCGGTACGGTATTTGAGGATAGCCGTCTGAATGGTGTGTTTCCGTAACACTAGGTAGGTAGGAAAGAGAGATGTCATTCATCTAACGACAACTCATCGCCAGCTGAATCACAAAAAAAAACGAGTTACTGAACATCAAGTCCGGATCCTGGAACCTGTGTGTGAATGCATACTACAGTAGTGTTGGATATCGCTTCAATCAACCGATTTGATACAATGATGACGACCGCGATCGATGTCGACAATGCCGAGCGCCGCGAGCCGGCGAGCACAGAATGAGCTACCGCGCGAAAAAATAAATGCCTACCTCCTCCGGAAACTTCCTGCCTCTCTTGACTTGCTTCTCGTACTTCTGGTGGTGTGTCCTGGTCTGAACGGTTGTGCGCGTCTTGACCACGTCAGCGATGGCCTTCCAGTCCTTCCCGTACTTCTCCAACCCTACCAGGAAATCTGCGTGTTCCTGGGACGTCCAGCGGCCCTTTACCATGGCCGTGCGCCTGTTCTTCGCGACTGCTGTTAAGCTGAAGCTATTGCTATTGGAGAATTCACCAAGCAAGCAGGCATAGATGGTGGGTTCCCGTCCATGCCAAGTCGGGAGGAGGGAGGCGGGGGGGACCGTCAGCATGTCAACCTATCAGCCATGTTAACTGATTGGGTTGTGGGGGGCGTGGGTCTGTTGTTGTTGTCGTCGTCGAAGAATGTTTTCTTTCATTGTTGTTCTTGCAGCAAATAAATGTTGTCGCGACCGACCCTCCTTGCCGAGTTAACTTTATTTTATTCATCAGGTCGTAGGAAAAAGCATGTCACTCTCGACGCTTGAGTCAAAAGGAGATGGATGGATGGATGGATGGATGGTTCGATCCTCTGTGCTAAGGCAACCAACCCTTGAAAGGGGAGTCCTTGCAATATGCAAAACATGTGTGCAACGTTTTTTTTCTTGCCTTGTATTCTTTTCTCGTGTGAGTGCTGATGTGAGTACAGTAGTAGCTACATGTGAGCGGCCACAGAAGAAAAGAACTCGACCCTCCTTCTGTGTTAGAATGACTGCATTTAGACTACATACTATCTTCAGCAGCAGCAACCAACAAGAAAGTGTGTGCAGAAAGAACCCCACAACCATGGCAAGCTCCAACCCTCTACAAACATGTTGTCTCAGCCACGAGCAAATGCCAGCAACAAGCACTACATACTATACATACATCGTCAAGGGAGGAGCGGGAAATCCCACCACCAACGCTTTTTTTCTCTTGACAAACAATGGACCAGACGTCATTTTTTCAGGTCAACCTTTCGTCACACATCCATATACCATCCTTTTTCATTTGCCCTCACAACAGCAAAAGCAGTAAGTTGCGGGGGGTGAAGGCCGAGAAACTTGATCGTGTGGCTCGCTGGAAACTGCTGCTGCTGCTGCACTCTCGCTCAATGCCATCGCTGATCTAATACATGCCATCATGTCAGCATTTTTAGACTACTTTCTTTCGTATTTAGTATACCACCACTCACTCCCCCTGGGAGTAAGAAATAACTTGCTGGAGCAGGAACATCATTGAATGAATGAATGAACTGTTCGTCTCATGTTTGACAGAGAGTCGCTCCGCTCACGGCGGGCGCGCTGCTACCGCAACATGTATGTATGTATGTATGTATGTATGTATGTATGTATCTATGTACAATAATAGATAATACGTAGCAATCAGCCCGTCGATCTCTATGCCCTCTTCGTACGTGTGTGGATTAGATACCTCTCCACGACCGACGTTGATTTGGATGTTTGTGATGTTCTGCGTGCCAGGTTGTGCAATAATTATAAACATGTTTGTTTCCTGCCTGGGTCATCATCTGAAACCACCACCACCACCCACACAAGAATCTACCCATAGATAAACTTTTTTTGTTCGCGTGGGTCTTCACCTACAGCAGTACATACCTGTTGTTCCTCGCCAAGAACGGCATTGATTATTGGCTGTCTCCACCAGATGGTTTCCTCGATAAAGGGGGGAGCGCCGGGGTACGCGTGCCAAGTCTGTCTGTACAATAGTACAGTAGTGTCTTCAGCTGCTTCAGACAGGAAGGCAATGAATGCTAAATCCTGGTTGGAGGGTGCTGCGGAGGTTCTATGTAGCGGCGTAGAGGCAAACAAAGTTGCGCCGCGTCTGGCTGGAAAGCGCCGTAGATACCAGAAATCTACCAGCGCCGCTTTTGTTTTTGCCTTTCCGAAGATTGCTCGCGATTCGAGGTAAATTTCTCGCAAGCTTCGGAACGTTGGTACAGCAGTAAGTCTTCCCCTGGTGCTCACGCCTCTCCTTTGTCTCTGGCTGCTGGGTTGTGGGTGAATAAAGGGTCTATCTGTGTGTGCAGGGTATCTAATGTTCTACCCGACCGACCGCTGCTGTGCAACTGCAAAAAAAGAGTCGCTCGAAAGGGTCACTTGGGATCTTGAGATGAAGCTGTTGCGAGTGGTTGATGTGTGGGTGGCAGAGAGTGTGGCACATTTCGAAGAACACACGCACGATTACTGCTGTACTGCTCTGGTGTTGTTGCTGGTGCAGCGCATCACATCGTCATCTGCCATAGTTTCGGTGTGTGGAGCCCGCTCTATTTCTCCATCTGCCCCCCTGCAGCCAATCTCCTCCGCCAATCATGATATTGAAAAATTCATAATATGTAGCCAGCGTGCGCATGCAGCAGCAGCTGCTGGCATGCAGCGCACAAACACAAAATATGAAGGAACATTCCAACATGCGAGCGACCCCTCCTTTCTCCGGACAAGCGATGATGATGACGAGCAAAATGAATTCCATTCTCAGCGCCCCCTAAAAAGAAGTACCAGAGACAACAAAGAAAGCTGGTGATGATACATCCCGACCACTTCACAACTCGGCTAATGGCCGAGAGGCCATCTTGGCCTCATTCATCGTGATGAAAAAGCGTGCCAGCTCTCCAGAGGCGTGTGTTTTTTTTTCTTTTTCTTAATATGACACAACGAATCCATCTCTATCATAGAAAAGAGTCTTTTTTGTGGTGGATCCCAGGATCCACAGGATATTGACTCTTTCTATCATCGGTGGTTGTTCCGTGACAGCATGCGACAGCCACTTGCGACCTTTTGTTCCAACTCTCTTGCAAATCACGAAAGGTCGTGACGCACTGGAGAACATTTGACTCGTTATTGACGTTGCTGGGAACGGGTAGATACCCGTTGCCGAATATGGGAACGAACGGATTATTGTTGTCCAGAAGCAAACAGGAGGCAGCAGCGTTGCTGTGGGTGTAGGGGGATTGGAAATGGCAGCGCTGGTAAAAAAAGCGTCCATTCCCTCGCCGTTCTCTCTCTTTCTTTTTTTCAACTTGCCGCCCGAAAAGATATCTCGCCGGTATGAAGTGTTGGAATGTTGGAAAAATAGCTCTGCGGGTGATCCATCATGAAGTTTTGGCTTGCTTGCCTTTCTCCACCAACATTGCATGGTGTTGTTGTACATACAGCAGTAGCATACGCCGTGTTTGTTTGTGTCCATGCGTGATGGCGGCGCGCAACGGCCGACGAAAAGGGGGAGGTTGAACACGAGAGGGTGCTGTGCGCGTTTCGTGTCATAATGACGGAGGTCAACCATACATACAGCAGAGGCGAGAGAGGGAGACCTGTACCCCGGTGATGATGGTGTATATTCCGTTCGCGGCCGGTGGTTCCCTTGTTTTTTCGGGTTGCAACCCCAGGATGGATGAAGTTGAAGGCATGGATGATGTTGGGCGTTTGTTCGCGCGACGACCACATCATCATCAGCCATTGCCAGCCTGCTTCATGCGCAGGCACAGCAGGCGCACCCTCTGCTGTTTGTTCTACATCCAGCAGGCTTGAACTCGCTGTCTGTCTGTCTGTTTTTCCTCGCTGTACTTTCCGAGTCGGTGCGGTGAAAAAAAGGACGAAAAACGAAAAAAATGACCCTCCTCACACAAGGCACAAATGCGCAATAACTATGCATGCGCGTGTTCCGCCAAAAAAGAGGATCCGTTGTGTATCTAGAGAGGAGGCGCACCAGCACCAGTGACCATGTGAACGGCATGCCCTGCTTTGCGAGGGAAAGCGCCCTCTCGGCATCGTGCTCGCCTAAGCTTCCCGCTGTCATGACAGGCGCGACTGACTCCTGATCGAATCTGGGGTGTGCGCGCAAAAGAAAGAGCAACAATTCCCTTTTTCTTTCGGGCTCAAGGATATCAAGCAACAACAACAGGGGCTTTACCTGGAGACAGCAGTAGTAGTAGTAGCGCTGGTGCTGGTGCTGCTGCCGTCGCTGATACTGCTGCTGCTGCTGCTGCTGCTGCTGCTGCTGCTGCTGCTGCTGGCACCCGCGTCGCCTGGGGTCGGTGTTTGCGGGTCTCTCTCTACCTCCATCGCTGCTCCCTCTCTGCCTGTCTGTGCCGTTGTTGCTCAGCACTGGTCGAGAATATAAAAATAACAAACACACGACGATCTTGACGCACTCCAAGTCGCTCCTTACTTCGTCACAGGATAACCCCCTCTATATCTGCTACGCGGGTGTTGGCTGGGCGTGCCGGCTCGACAGAGTCGCCTTGAGGGGGGAAAAGGAGGAGAGGAGGAGGAGGGAAGGCGTTGGGGCGTTGGGGAATGAATGATGGTTGGGCTGCGAGTAAAGCCGGCCAGGCGTTGATCCACGAAATTAATTACTTGGAACGACACGAAATGTCGCGGTAAGTAATCACTGATGGGATTCGACCTTGCGTGATGGGTGCGACACGCATGCGACCAGGCTGCTCTGATATCTACAAGATTGACATGTATGAATGGTCGAACAGAACACACGCTACTTGCCGAAAGGCTTTATTCCCGGCCGGCCGCCTGTCTGTGTGGACCTATGCATAGTAATTTTGTATGTTGATTACTACTGCTGTTGTAGTGTTTGTCGCGGAGAAAAGAAAACGTCCACCCGCCCACGTTTGATTGCATTACAGGGGGGTTGGGTGCATTGTTGTTGTTGTCTTCACATTAAACTCGTGTCTCGTGTCAGTTGCTAATCCCAAAATCTAGCAAAGACGCGGTCCGTTGTAGCAAAAATGCTATTAATAGAGCCATCAGAAGGAAGATGTATCTAAAGAACACGCAAACTAGCAAGAATGGGTGCATATTCCGCGCCAAAGGTTTGATGATCGCAAACAAACGCCACCAGTGATACATTGAGCATTCGTTGTGAAGGAACGTGCACCTGTCCGTGTTGGCATGCATGCATGTGCATAAATAAGCAACGCATCATGGGTCACAACACACTAATAAAACAATTATCACTTTTCGCTCAATATCACTACTGAGTAATTCGTCATTTTGGACATCCCAAAAACAATAACTACCTTCAACAGAATGAATGAAGATAATATGCTGCACCATCTACTGTTCGATGTTGTTAGCAACGACTTTCACAGAAAAAAAAGACCATGACTTCTGAGATTTTCGTACCGTTACCGCGATCCATCCGACGCGGACGGACGCCTTCCCGTGGTCCTAGGCCAGCCCAAGGAAATTAACATGAACACACACATACATACAACAAAACAATCAAACAACGCCGCCAAGAGATTATATATTGAAGGGCACGAAACAACAGAAAGGCCCCAGACCAAACCACCACTGTGTGTCTTCTGTCGGGTCGTCGATTGGAAAAATTGTTTGCCTATCTATCTATACAATTTTGTGGTGGTGCTGCTGCTGGTTGATTGTTGTGATGTCGTGTAGTGTGTGGGTAAGGACCCAACTAAATCTGTGTGTTAGTTGTAACCAACTGCCGTTTGTTTGTCGTCCACGACCACAACCACCACCCCAATCACAGATTTAAACCATCAACTGATCGACGCCACGTTGATGTGTATACGCAAGACGACGGCCGACCCCGGTCATCACAGACCCCAGCCTGTGGCGCTGCCGCTGTTGGTGGGGTGGGCTGGTTCCCGGGCAAAAGATAAACAACTGCGGGTGGGCCTGGAACAAGTCAATCTAACGTGGGCCTTCCACACGCAACCGATGTCGATCCTCATATCGGAGCCTCCACGTTCAAGGTACCCTACTTACATCGGATCCATGACTCAACACTTTGTAGCCGTGTTACCGAGCGAGGTCGAGACGCGAGCCCTCGAGGCCTGCGGCAACAAACATGCAGCGTTTCCCCTGGCGTTGAAAATCTTACACCTTCTTGTGCAGAGAGAGGCCAAAACTTCCAGCTCAACCACGTCCATCATCCATGTCACACCAAAAAATCCTCATCTGGAAAAGTTTTCACGGCTCGGAGTTGCTCCACAATCAACAATGCAGCTCCGAGGATGTCAACGTCAACTATGAGAGAGAACCATGAAACACCAAGAATCCGTCGTTTTTTTGTAAGAAAAACAAACGACGAAAAAAAAGCAAGTAGCAAGCGAGACACACAGACCCCAAAGAAACATAGAATAAAAGGAACCCAAAGAACTCAAAGCAAAAATATGAGCCGCTGAATTCAAAGTCAACCACGGGGTGAGCTAGCTCTCACACAAACACCATGGCCAGCCGACCAACGGTTTGACTAATGATTTGGTCAAGAAATTGTCGACATCACGTTGTCACTCGAAAAAACAAGAAGACAAGCGAAAGGGCGACAGCGACGGAGGGAGGAGCGGTCACCTGAGGTCTCATGTTCTTGTCGACGGAAGGGAGGATCAGAGACCACTTTCCGTACTCTACCTTCTCCGCCCCCAACTCTTTCGTTCTGTTTTTCGTCACTCTGAGGCGATCGGTGTTCGTTGTAGTCAATCCATTCTGCATGTCTGCTATCTACTGGTACATAGAATCGAACACAAACGGCCGGGATTCAACGCAACACCTCTCTCGCGTGTCCACAAGGCAGCGCCATAGAAGCGCACCCCTTAGTGCACAACATCCAAATCCTGCGGCTGCAGGCACCGGCATACACACAATGATGGGAAACCCTGCACGCCTCGGCTCATCGCTCTTGTGTGTGTGCCTGCAGAGAGCACCACCACTGCTGCTGTTTGTGGTACTGGCCTATTCATGCGAGCCACCAATAAGCACCTTTGTGCAATCAAGCTGGCACCTTTAATGAACCTAACCGCGGCACACAAAAGCAGAGTCCGCACACTGGTGCGTCACGTCCCGTCAACAGCGACAATTCTACAACGGCTTGAGACGAGACCCATTCGGCAGAGGAGCATGCCGCCCACCCAACCCCATCGCACAAAAATGTCCTTCCCTTACGGGCGAACAACAACAAAAATGTCCTTCCAGCACTACTTACGCCTCTAAAAAACCTACCAGCGGCATCTGCCTGCTTGAAAAACTCGTGTTTCAACCCGTCCCCCTTCATCTCCAGAATAGCAACGACTTTGGCTCACACTCCCGCCCCCGCCCCTCCGCCTGCCCCCCAGTCTCATCCACACCCCCTTGGCCAGTAATCCCCGACACGATACCGCCTCCGCTGCCCCCATCACGCCGAAGAGGCCCTTGCCCACACGCTGACTACCGTTGGTGCACCCCTCGCTCCCGTCCCCGTCCGCTC